TATATATATATATATATATACTGTATATATATATACTGTATATATTATGGTGGACTTAAAGCAAATCACATTTAATAATAGTGTTGTATTAGCTAATTTTAATATCGTGCTGTTCTGTTGTTTGAACTGGGATTACATAACCCCTATCACCATTGGAACTGACCTGTGACATTTTTCTCACCACTACCTGTACCCTAAAAATAACAATGTGTAATCATTACAAGCAGTTTCACAAAATATTTGCATTTAAGCACATGTAGCTCATTAATATTATACAGTAGTTTTGTAAATACACAATGTTAAGACCAACAGAGCTTTTTGATGACATTGAGCAACCCTTTAAAAGTAATCAAAATCACAGTCTCACCTCTTTGATTGCCCTGAACCAGAGTAACAAGGACAGATCACACCACACATTATCTCCACACAACCATACGAGGCAGATCTTTGAGCGCACTGCAAACACAAACAACTATCGATATTCTTCAGAATTGGTGAGAGCTGAGGTGGGATGGAAGACTGAGAAAAGACAGGGTAGATAACAGGTCAAAGAGAAGTGTGCTGCAATCTCTTTCGCCTTCATTATAGAACCAAACTGGCCCTTCATACATAACATCATTACCAGAGTGGGAGAACAATCCCATTAGGAACACTTCACTCCTAATGCAGACAAACTGTTCTTTTGCCCAAGGGCAGTCATTACCTGGGGGTGTGAAGGGGATACAGAGCGTGTGTGTGTGTGTGGCTGTGTAGAGGTAACTGTGCATGAGAGGATGGTATGCTTATACTGGTGCTGATCTTGAAAGGCCATCGCTATCGATTGTATTAAGCTTGCTGGGAGCCCGGGAAATCGATACATTTTTAAAGGCGAAGCAACTAGCAGATAGCATTTGTGCGTTTCAGTAATACAAAATGGATACAAAGTGGTTATTTTTAAGAAATAAAAATACACAATCAAATAAATATTATTAAAATGCTACATATTTAAAAAAAATATGATATAATTTAAAATGCAACAATTTATTTAAATTTTTTTGTCTGAATTAGTTATTTGTATATTTATTTAAATTAAAATTATAGTTATACACTGCCTTCAGATATGATGTGCCAGAGCAGAAATCTTATATTGTCACAGAGCTCAGCCGGGGCAACCTAAAATAGCCATGTGTACAAACCCTCATCCATAACTTCCTCTTGATCATTTCCCATGACTACGAAGCACCTGTGGTTTCTAACATGAGGTAATACGAGCTCTTTTGCCTCGGTAGCAATAAACTAAAGAAAAAACCCTCAAGCTACATTTCAACCTCTGTTATTGTTGTGGATAATAAGCCAAGGACCTGTGGCAGCTGGGAGAACAAGAGAATAATAATAATAATAATTATAGGCTACTTTCAGAAATTAAAGGTGAAATGTATAATTTCTTAGGCATGTTGCCAAACTGGCACAAATTCTGACCAAACTAAAATATTATTTGCTAAAAATGAGCGAACACTCCCTGTCTGCCATTGGTCAGTCATGCTGCAGCCCTGTCCCAAACTCATCCCATTGGTCAAGCCACTGTTGCTGGGCTGGTTGGGATGCTCAAACAAACGAAATATTTTGATTGAGCCACAGTGTTTAGACTTTGGGGAAATCAGCCTATGGATGGCCAAAATGTCACATTCAAGACATTTTTCCATACAGAAGAAAAACGAATCAGATGCAAATGAATCAAGTACACAGGTTTCCTTCATTATGATTCACATTATTCCAACCTCGCAAGGGCTGAGGTGCCAGGTCAAAGGAATGCATCACACTCTTAATTCAAGAGGGATGCCAAATCACCCATGGCTCTTTGACCAAATGAATTGCTTGTTCAAAGGCATCCAGGAAAAATCCTATCAGTCTACCATCTGAGAACCGGAATTACCCACTGACAAGGAATCTGGAGCCAAGAATGTAGGAAAAGACAATGGAAGGAAGAGAAAATGAGAGAAATCACACTTACCAATTTTGTTCTTAAATTCCTGTTACAGGCAGAGGCAGATTGATTATTCCCCGTCAGTAAAAACTTATTAAATATTGGTAATGGCCAGCTGATCTGCTTTCTCTTTTTAAATCTGTCCACCTCTCTTTCTTTTAGCCATAATTGCCTCTTGATTTAGTATCTGGGACATGCTGTATGATCTGACTGCGACTTTGGTTTGAACTTAAAGTGACTGACTGTTACTGCAAAGGAATGTATAAAAGATGAGTATAATCTCATGTTATAAGATTATGAGAATTGATCTCATGCTGTTTTCTAGGCTGTTCTCTAGAATTCATATCATCAGGACATTTTCCATTTTCAATATGAGCAAGCTGAGCTAACGCGCAAGTTGATGAGCATGCTCTCACATCAGATCCTCACCCGGAGAGCAACAGAAAAGCAGCCTAAATGAGAAAAAAGGAAAGAGGAGGAATCAGTTCTGCCATCTGCTGCACATCAGAGGAAGTTCGCCTTCTATCAACACGTAGGCTAGTGTAATTCTATTCTTAACCGCCACTACATTGCTTTATAATATATGGTTCAGTGTCAATGGACAGATTCTTAGCCTAATTGCATCAAAAATGATCAATTGCATTATAACTCATATATATATAATCATATATTATTAGATATTGTGACTTTTATGTTTTTGACGATTGGAATGTTTCTTTTTTGAGTTTGTCAAAAAATAATGAAACATATTATAGCCTACATACATACATGCATTATATTATTTACATTTATATGTAGGCCTATATACAGTATAGGCTAGCCTATATATTATTCACAACGGTAGCCTATTTTAAATAGCCTTTTATTATTAAACTAATCTAAACTATCACAGACGTAGCAAACATAACGTGTTCTTACAACATCTTCCTAAATTCCTTGTGTAGCCTCAATAAATATTCTGGCCAAGTGGATTAGGCTGGTGACACTTTACAATAAGGTTAATTAGTTAGCTACTTTAGTTAACATGAACTAAGAATGAACAATACTTCTACAGCATTTATTAATCTTAGTTCATGTTAATTTCAACATTTACTAATGCATTATTAAAATAAAAATGTGTGCTTGTTAGCATAAGATAATGCACTGTGAATTAACATGAACTAACAATGAACGACTGTATTTTCATTAACTAATATGAACAAAGATGATTAAATACTGTAATAAATGTATTGTTCATTGTTTTTTCATGTTAGTTAATACATTAACTAACATTAACTAAGGGAACCTTATTGTAAAGTGTTACCATTATATTTTCACTTACTTCCTAGTACACTAGCTCTGACCATATGTGGGCTTTGAGTGAATCAGCATCATAATAACAGACATGACTTGTAGTAGAAACGCTGTAAGCTGTACTTTATGGACAAGGAAGTGAGTCATATGCTAATCACTGACGGTAAAATGATGTGTTTGTTGGTCGACCGAATGAAGAAATGTGGAAACACTGGTGTACTACAACAGGGAAGCAACGTGCTTACTCAGGTAAATAGCCTATACGTGGATATAACAGTAGTTTTAAGGAAGTAGAACTGAAGAGAACTTGAAAAACATCCAGTCGTTTTGGATTCAGCTTATATCGGTAAGAAATCACCTATCCATTATACACAATAACAGTTCTACGTTTTTATTTTTGGTTTGTTCTCTAGAAGTTAAGGGAATTAAGTTGTAAAAGTATCAAAGCATAATTGTGATTTATGTAAAATGTTAAACTCCGAGTATCACGATCGTACCTGTTACTGTAGTTGGACAGCACAATTATTACCATTAGGCTATTAAGATTTTTTTAAAGTCTGAAAAAATACATTAGTACTTGGAGACACCATATTGGTTTCATCACTCTGTATGTATTATATTTAGTAAATATATATATCCTTCATACATACATACAGTAGATATGATTTGGGGGTTTCTTATTGGGAATTTTCGATGATGCTCTTGCTTGAAAACCTTCAGTATTGCATGTGGTGCGCGTGTAGCGCTTTTTACCGCTTTATACAATAATTTTGCTCAAGCTTTTTAATGGACTTATCAGTTTTACTAGACTGGAATAGAAGAAAAGAATATAATATTTGACTGTTGTAAACATAAGGACAAGCAGTTTGGAAAATAGATAGACAGATATTGACTGTAAAATTGCTTTTTGCCTAAAATGGTCTACACTGAGTTTATAACGTGTGAAACATCGTATGGAGACATATGTAGAATGGACAGCCGTTCAGAGTCCATTTATAGAATATGTCAATGATCTCTCCTTTTATTTGACTGCTACTGGTTAACAAACTTTAATAAACTTTAAACATTCATTCATACTTCAAATACAACCTCTCTTCAAAATAAATTGTCATATATATCATACAGTATAATGTTTGTGTGATGTGTCATTTACAGAATCTGCCAACTAAATAAAGCAAAATGTCCTAAGGTCTTGTGCATGGGTTCAGATGGACTACAAACAGCTGCTGACTCATGTGTATAAAGTGAGCAGGTGGTCAACAGGTGCTGAAAGTTTTGTCAAGGCTATGACTAATTGGGTAGCCTACATTATTTAGTTTGTAGGCTAGATTCTGTCACAAGTTGCCCAAAAGTTTGACATGTAGGTGGAAAATAGATTGAATCTCAGATCGATTTGAGCCCTTTGTGCATTGTTAAAGAGACTTACTCTTGAATGAGTTATTATTGTGTCACTCAAATCAGCACTCTGACTAATGCATGAGTAGATTCACAGCGTGCTGCTCAAAGGTTGCCTAATGCAACAACCCCAGCCACATGTTTAGAGTGGCAGATATTTGTTTATTTGGTTTAATTAGTGTTATATAAATTTTATAGGTTAACCTGATTTTTTTTTTCTTGGAATGAACAAAGATTTATGAATTGTCATAAGTAGGCTACCATGATTCACAAGGTAACCCCCTAAGTTTAATTTGAACAGTTGTTAATTGTAGAATAAAAAATGTATTCATTTAAACATAACTTTATTGTGGTTTTATTAAAGCTGCAGTCCGTAACTTTTTTTGGTTAAAAATGATCCGAAATCAATATTTGAGCAAGTACATAACCAGCCAGTGTTCAAAACTATCGCCTTACTTTAGCCGATTCACAACGGTTAGCTTATAATAATGTTTTCTAATTTGAGTTGTACGGGTAGGTTTTCACGGGAAATTCGAGCATGGCACTGCGTCTGTCAGGATTCTGGACTGTCTATGTTCTGTTTTGCCCCTGTTTCTGTTCTAGTGTTTCCTTATTTGGTCTAGTCTGTTCAGTTTGTGTTGGTCAGGTCTACTCGTTCTCTTCGTGTGTTGGCTTAAGCTCCTATTGTGGATTATCTCCTATGTTTCCTTGATTAAAGACTGTTCTCGTTTACTCGTGCCTCCAGCGTGTTCCCTCAACAGCGTAACGTGACAGCGTCATTACGTCACGTCTGTAAACGTAAAGAAGTTGTCCCGGCTAGTAGGCTATCGCATGTGAGGATCCTGCAGGTGGTGGATCGTTTATAGCATTTTCTCACAGCAGCCAGAATAATTAAATGTATCATTTTGATGGTGGATTGTAATCCATAAAGGATTATGTGTTTATGAAACACATGTGAATGAAATTAAATTATATTCCAGTGTAATGTGGTGTTTTGTTTCATGTTCATGTTTTCCATGTCTTTTATTTTGTAATTGTTTCATGGTCCCTGTTTGTGTCATGCTTCCCTTGCCCTCATGTATTCATGCCATTGGTTCCCCTGTTCATTGTGTCATGTTCTGATTGGTTGTCTTAGTCATGTGTCTTGTTTCCCATTGGTTTGTTCTTGTCATGTGACCCTCTTGTTTCCTATAAGTAGCTTCATGTTCCCATTGTGCCCTCGTCGTGTATTGAATGTATTTAACCTGCTGTTGGTGAGTCTTGTCTGTTTATGTCAAGTCTGCTCATACTAAGTCAAGTCAAGTCAAGTCAAGTCAAGTCAAGTCAAGTCAAGTACCTGTAAATAAACTGCACTTGGGTTCTCACTTACACTCGCCTTCAGTGGATGATTTGTTACAGAATACACGACCACTAAAATGAACCCAGCAGATTGCCTAGTTCATCTCCGACAGGGAGACCTATCCATAGAGGATTACGTGGCTAAGTTCTGTGAGCTTTACTATCAGGTAGATTTTAAGGATAGCTTCCTGAAAGACATTTTCCGCTATGGTTTGGACAAAAACATTTCTCATTCAATGCCACGCAATACCCCTCAATGGACTCTTGAAAAATACATTGACTTTGCCTTGTTGCTGGCTGATTCACATTACACATATCTGTAATGTGCTTCTGATTACAGATAGCCTGTGATTACAAAGATTTGTATTTTAAAGAAAACCAGTTCAGAGGGAGCATAATTTGCTTTTTGGGTTAAAATAATTTCTTAATATGAAATTCAAAGAGCATGACAATTAGATTAGACTGTGCAGAAGTTGAAATCTACACGCTAATACACACTATACTCATAGTCATCATACTGATGTTGTTAACATTAATCATTTGAAAATAAAGTATAACAATAATAATAATTTGAACGGGTTGATGTGATATTAGCTAACCAATCTTTAGATTAAATCACCATTGGTAGCAAGATTTATGGTAATGCTTTTTTCCTCAGTTGGTCAGAACAAACATGGCAGACTTGTTACTTACTTGTTCAGATGGCAATATACGGTGAAAATTCTTATTTGGGTCATATTCCAAGATGTAGGCTAGAATCTGTGATTGCGAAGTACAGTAAATATCCACACCGGTGAAGTGACTGACTGCCACACATACTCTTCAGAACATTAGATTAATCCGCGATGGAGCCGTGCCGACTCACAACCCACGCAAGCTAGATAATTCCGCACACAGCTGCAATACCAGGTTTTCAAACAGAGATGGCAACAAAGAGGCAAAACGTACAGACTGCACCTTTAACTAAAAAATTTTTTTTTAATATTGACACATTTTAGTTTTCTTAGTGAGAGTTCAGGCTAAAGAACATCAGCTTTAAATGTCTTGGATATAAAATCCTGCGATTCATAAAAAAACTAAAAAGTGGCCTAAGCCAGGTATCTTGTTTAGCAAATAGCAATATAGCACTATATGACAATACTAATTTGATAATGCAACCTCCACTGTGAGTGCAAAGCATGCATGTTTTGTTTGCACTTTTATGTCTTAATTTGCAACAGTAAACCTTATTTAGCAATATGCTGTTGGAAAAAGCGCGACTATTTTTCCTCATTTGTATCTTATTTGCCTGTAATGCAAATTATGACCGTGGCATTCTATCAGTATAACAAGTCTTTACATGTGGTGGAGCTGAGTAACAGCTGACACAGCTTCAACAGGTATCAGAGGAAAGAGAAAACAGTGCTTAGGGAAGTTCCTCTATCAGAGATGCCAATAGAGATGACCTACAAATGTGTTGGTGTTTCAGGTTGTGGTTAAGCATGAGAGTTTATTTATTTGATATGTGTTAAGTCTAGAGGAACACTTTTTTCAAGTCTGTACATATATATATTTTTTCAGACCTTTATATTTGTAGTCCTTTTGTGTGTTTTTTAATTCACATAATTTTAAAATGTACACTGGGTACAGTATTCAAAATAAGAATGCTAAAACTTTCGACTTAAGGAGGTCAATCAGAAATGATGTCCTAACTTTTGTGGTTTGTTAATTTAGTAAAGCCCCAAATAGGAATTTCAGTTTTGTTTTTCTTCACAGTGGTGAGAATGAAGAGGGAAGTGAGTGCTGGAGTGAACTTTCTGAAAGGTTTGGCAGTGGAGCGTGGAGGTGTGGATCAAATTAAAGCCAAACTTTTTGCTTCTAAATTACAAGGGCTTCTTCTTGAAAAGTTTACAGACCACTGGTACCCAGACAATCCTAACAAAGGACAGGCGTACAGGTAAATGAAGAAAAGAAGATTTAGTAAAACTTATTATACTTTTTTTATAAGTTATATATTAAAGTTATAAGTTATATATTAAAACTGTTTTTGTTTTGAATTGTGATGTGTAATGCACTGATCAAAGCAACATTAAAAAAATATGATTTTTTTTTTTTTTTAAATCTCGGTATTTTCTCAGTAAATATACACTACTTTTTAAAAATTTAGGACATTTTTTTAAATATAGTAAAAACAGTAATATAGCAAAATATTATTACATTAATAATAATAACTGTTTCCAAATGTAATATGTTTTAAAATGTAGTATTTCTGTGATGGCAAAGCTGAATTTTCAGCAGTCAGTACTCCAGTTTTCAGCATCACATGATCCTTCAGAAATCGTTCTAATTTGCTAATTAGGTGATCAAGTTATGCTGCTTAATATTTTTTACGAAAAGTGTGATTAATTTAATCAAAGGATTTTTTGATTATTAGAAAGTTCAAAAGAAGAGCATTTTTAATAGAAATATTTTGTAATATTGTAGATGTCTTTACTTTTGATCAATTTAATCCATCCTTGCTGATTAAAACATTAATTTCTTTAAAAAATCAAATCTTACTGATCTTACGTACCATTTCATTTGTTGTCCAAGTTGAATTTAATACTCTGCATGAGGTAATATCTGAAAGGCCTACAAACGTTCATAGCAATCATTCACAATATGACCATTTTTTATTCCCTACTCAGATGCATCAGAATAAATGACAGAATTCCCTTTGATGAATCCATATCACAAGCGTGCATGGAGAGCGGCTTAAAGCCAAATGAATTGGGTTTTCCTCATGAGATCACAATATGGATCGACCCGTCGGAGGTGTGTGTGCGGTAAGTTCTAGAATACTTCGATGAAAGGCTTTTTATTTGATCAATTAAAAGAAGACTGTTCCTATTGGCCTTTTTCTGAATGTTTATACTTGACATTTTCTGTGAAGTGAGAACTTCTCACTAAAAGCAGTGGTTCACATTCATGTTCCCGCAGGTCTGGAGAGAACGGCAGATATTTTACAGTAGCTCAGTTTGCTAAAGGGGAGGATGAGGGAAATTACTTGAATCAGGAAGATACTTTTAGCCAAGTGGATTCTGTGAATCTGGATACATCGGACTACCACTCAGCGACCTCATCTGACTGCGGCTCAGCAGTCTCAAGTGATACAGAAGAGGAGGTGAAAGAGGACGAAACGAAAAAAGTGGAGCAGAGAACAGTGAAGAACACAGTTCATACAACAAGATCTAAAGCAAGGGAGCCTAAAGGGCCACCCAAGTTTCCTCCAGCTCAGGTAAATACCATTATGCATTTCCTAAATTTCACTTCAGCAAACTACAGTACTTTCAAGTAAAAAAACTACACTCAAGCAAAAAAATATAAAATTCTGCCTCTATTTTAGAAATTACCTGCTGTTATATTCTGTTCAGCACTTTTTGAACACAAACTATGTTAACTGAATAAAAAAGTAATTAAACTAACATTGTAAAATATTTTCTGTCATTAACAGATCACTGGCCTGCAGTACTTTTATAACCCTGCGCCGATGTGGCCCCAGTACAAGAAGAAGAGAGGCGTGTTCTTCACGACTGTATGTGCACCGGCACCTTCTCCCTTGTTTGCTTACTATGTCGTACCCAACGCCCCTCCACAGTTCATTGTGCCTCACGCTGCCCTCCAAACCTGGGGGACAGTGAAAGGGTAAAGAGCTCGAAACCAGTATATCTATAATGTGAGACATATTTGCCAGTCTGCAGGGAACTTTATAGCTTAGCATAATGAAATCATAAACTTGAAATATAGTGTCAAACATGTCAGGTAATTAACTTTTCACTGATTTCAAGCATATTCTAATGAACTTTAAGCTTTTTAGGTTTTTAGCTTTAGGTTTTTATATGCTAAAAATAGTCAATCGATATATGTTTAAACTTCACTGGCTTTGTTATTACTTGATCACAAACTACAGGAATTATTTCTCAACTTTGCCAATGTTAGATTGCTGCGTACTTGACATTTTTTTTGTTTAATTTTAAAATGTTTTTAGTCAAATCACAACTTTTTCTAGCAGCTTCTGTAGTGAGTGTTGCAATGTTTTGGTAATTTTTTATTCATAAAATGCTTGAGTGATATTTATTGCAATAAAAATGTTTTGAGTGAATGTAATTATTCACTGAAACACATTCCCAAATATTACCAGCAGTTCGGTTCAGGTGTGATAGTTCATGAAGTTACCTCTAAAACACCAAGCATCCTATACCTTTTCAATTAAAAAATAATAATCTTGTATACTGAAGGTGAAGAGTGCTGTGTGGGTGAGGTTCCTGACTGATGTGAATTCACCTTTAAGAATAATCATATCTGCTCAAGATGTAGGAAGGACTGCAACAACAAAAACATTATTTAGTTAATTATACTAGATTCTGTGCACAATGTTACCATTTACCTTTGCTAAATGGCAAGGATAATTGTACTGTAATTTATTCCAATACCACTAGGTGGTAGTATACATTGCCTTAAGCCATATTTCATTATAAGCCATATTTCCACATTTGATTATCTTGATATTTTGGTCGTAAACAATAGATTTTCTTCTGATAGTAATTGTTTTGTGAAAACTGCATGTAAAATGTGTACAGTGACCTCATCTCACAAGTGCTGTCATGTCTACCAGGATATCTATGAAATGATTTTATAATCTGCCTTTTTAAATTGAGCTTTTATGTAATTTTGACTAATTGAAACTATTATAACTTGTAATAGTATAATAGTCTTCAACACTGGACTTTTACTTTTGGTATATCATTATTATTTTTATATAAATTAATTATGTGCAATTTTGTATGTTAAACTAGTAACCTTTAATATGTTTACACATTTTGGCCTGTTTTTTCTGTCTTCAAATGCATATTAATTTGTGCTTTCTTTCTCTGTAATCTTTTAAATAATGTTTTGCTGTTATGCAGTGACTGTAAATATTGCTTCTGCTTTAGCAAAAGAGTAATGAGATCTGTTTTAAAGCTATGTCCAATTGATGTTACAAATATATATTTTATTACTAAAACAGTAACAGTTTTCCCATTTTTATTTGATTATGTTAAAATATAAAAATGTTACTGAATTCCTGAATTTGAACCGATTATGGATATAATCTATTCCTGAATTGTGCAATTCGCAGTATTCTTGATAGACTGAAAATGAACAAACTCAGACTCTTAAACCTTTTGTTGAATCTCTCCACACTCTTTATGGCCTGGTTAAAGAATTAAAAGTTTGGTGAGTCTCAAGTAGGCCTACTGTAAGGTCTAAAGGTTATATGATCTCTGTATGATAACTTCTGAAATCAGCCCAAATATATGATGGAAACTTCCTATCAATGTATTACTCTTCATGGGCTCCTAGAGCGAGTTGGACTAAACACTTACTGGAATGGTTGTTGTAGGTTCTGTGCTACAGGATGCCCTGGCGGAAGGATCCACATGGGGCGAGTGCGTCACGTGGCCCAAGGTCATTACGTCATTCCTGGAGGAAGACAAGCAAGGATTTCAGCATAGAAATAGAATCTGCTTCAGTTCATTGGGTTTGAAGGAGGGGGATTGTAAACTAAGAGGAGAGAGCAACAAACCTCGTGGCTATGCATGTTTAGTTTCTGAGTTCCTGTCCCTATTGAGTTCATTATGGAAGTGACAGCTTGGTGTTTCATTTTCCAAATGGTCTATTATAGGAATCTCGTTATCAAATTCTTTCAATTAGCTATCAGTGTTAAACAAGCAAACAAAAAACTGCTGTGGGCAGTGCAGTATAGCTGGCTGATGTCCACCTGCCAGCAAAGTATGTCTGACCCCGTTTTTAAGGCTTAAGAGGAACTTTAAAAAAGGCTCAGAGTCTTAAAAAATATATTCCTTTTAATTGGTGTTTCGAAATGTTTCATTAACCTCAAACAATTGAAACTTTATAAATATACTCCCTATATATATATGTTTTGTGTAAAAAAAAAAGAAAGAAAAGTCACACGGGAACAGATTTGTGCCCCGAAAATACCTATAAAATCATTAAAAAGTCTACCAAAAATGGAGCTCTGGACCTATACACAATAACTTAACCGTTAGTCGTGCACTAAATAGGTCTCCCACTAGAGGTACCCCTCTGGACAAATTTGCCAGCGACTATATCGACCGTATTTCGTATCTGAAACATGCCGAGAGCGCGAATACGTGCTAACACTTAATTCTAACACTTGGCAGTGTGTCGTGAATTGTTCGGAGCTTCACTCTGCCATAGGCTATAACTTACTTTTAGTTTCGCATTTCCACTGATCTTGAGCTGTAACTCTTTTAGAACACTTTGCCTAAAGTGTGAACGATAGTTTCCTGAAAGAAACATTAGCTTATGACAGCAAACGAAGAAAAAAAGGGTATGCCACAATCATCATATGAGGCGACACCACTTGTAAAGAAGTTGATGCAGTCCATCCACCGCATACGTAAGAGCGCTACTTCATAGTGAACAGTTTCAGAGCGCCTACCCACAGACCGAAGTTAAATATTGAGGCGCGTAACAGTGTTAGTGTAAGTACGCAGGTCGGAGCGCGCATTTCGGTCTTCGCTCTGTGCTTTGAAATACTTCTTGATTTCAACGTGCTATGCCTTCTGAAATTTTGGTTGGAGAGGGGGAAGGACAGGATGAAGAACAAGGCGAATGATGTCTGAATGGACCGAAGACAAGAGCGCGCTATGGAGATGACTGCTCGCCTCGCGCACTTGGACACTAAGGTGGATGGCAGAAACTGTGATGGACTTGTCAACCACAACGGGGAAACGATGGAGATAAGAGTACCGCTGACTCACACGGGGAAGAGACTCAGTCCGATCGAAGGGGGAAATCTTTACAGACTGCGCGACAGAAAGTTCCTTTTGGAGGACAAGAAGCGCCTCTGCGCGTGGGCACTGGGAACCGCGTTGTTAGGCATTCTGCTGATGGTATTACATGCTGAGCTGTGCCCAGTAGTGTATCAACCAGTAAGTAGATCTACAGCTATTGTGAAATACAGAAAACAGCAGAGCGCTTGAGACAAATGAGTAGTGAATTTGATGGATGAAGCATCTGTTATGGGCTCTAGAGAGTAAAATGATTTTCAATAAAGAGAAACGTCACCCAGATTTAGGAGAAAAGACACACATGATCATTTACCCAAATAAGGAAATTAAACGTTCCAAAATTCTGCACGGCTGAAATATTGACAATTTTAATTTCAATTTGGTTGTGGGGAACTAAAACGTCTTTGCTGAATTAAGTAACATTTTAAAGTTTCTCTTTAAGATTTTAAAAAAAGTTTTGTTACACTGCACAATGCACTATTGCTACTTAATGTTTCACTTGGATAAAACCTGTTAATTTAGGGGGGCTCGAGCACCCACGGGAATGGCCGGGCACTCACGGAAAAACATGCACGAGAAACTCTTTATTAACTTTCACCAATCAAAACTTCTCTGAGGTCGCACTTCGGGTCCCTGCGGGTCGTAATACACACAAATGCCTCTATACATTAATAAAGTTTCGTTCGCTCCATTCCCCAAATCAGCCAGTAATCTCGAAAAAATGCTAGCGTCGAATCAGACTCGTTTTGTGAGGACACACTCATGGGGGGGGTATCAGGTTGACCAAAAAAGGAAACATATCTTAATCTTGCAAATCATGACTCTATAGCAGGTTTACTTGGTCATATGTCTTCACAAGAAAAAGATCAATTTATAATGCTTAGGTGAAAACAACATACAAATAAAGCACAACATGACATGTAATACTGAGGTGATTCACAGAAACCCAACTAACACAGGAAACCAGATAGTCAGTGCACTGTAATCACTTATTAACTGTGATGTATCCCAGTCTTTATTTTGATTTGTCTGATCATTTATGTGCTTAGCCAAAGCAAATCATAGTGCAGTGCAGTGCATCAGTTTATGCATTCCCTAAGATTTGGACCCATGACCTTGGTGTTGCTAGCACCTTGCTCTACTGTTTTATGTACGAAACAGTCACATGTATTTTTGATTTTTTTTAAAATAATAAAAACAACAACAACAACAGTAATAAAAAGGGATAGTATATCCCTGGAGCCAGATTCACAAAACATTCTTAAGAATAAAATTCTTCTTAACTGCTATTGTCCTATTATTTTCTTATAAAAGCCTGTCATTATTAAAGAAATAATAATAATAATAATAAATAAAAAATATTTTCTTATGAAAACACTTAAATGTCTTAAGAACATTCTCATGAACGTCTTGGTATTTAGCTAAAGAAAATTCCTAAACTTCCTTCTTTCAATTTCATTTTATTTTATTGTGAATCCAGACCTTGCAAAGCCTGTTATCTTTTTTGTAAGAAAACTTTTTTCTTAAAAAAATATTTGAGAATTTCTTAAGAGTTTTTTATTTTTATTTTAATTGCACTTAGGGACATTCTTACAAACTTCTTGGAATTTATTTTTTAGAAATTTCTTAACTTCATTCTTCAGAATTTTTTTCGTTTATCTGGCTCCTGCTCTGATTTCCATTTCATAAATGTATGAAAACACTAATTTGAAGACCTCATTAAGTGTTTTATATTATTGTGGAAAAACATCGGAAGGCATCAGCTGTTTTTCTTCTACATTTAGATCTGCATCTAGACCTTTATAAAATGTATTACTCTTCACTTCTATAACTTAATCTCTATTTTTGCAGTCTCACACTGTAATAGTCAACATGGGTGACAGAAGAGTTTTAACGCCCTGACTGACAACTAATCGGTGTTTTCTTGATTCGCTCTAGCAAGTTTCCTTCAATTATTTTTGGTCATATTGCACAAAGCTTATTTTTGATTATACCGTTTCAAACAATTTAGAGAAAGAATTAATTTACGCCTCGAAAGCATAGCCTACTTCTGCAACCGTGACGGTGTATTTAAACTTACCATTCTCATGGAAACCAAATTATACAGGAAAAGCAGCTATTTATGCAAGTTTTTCCACATTTTGTCCTCCCTCCCATAGTGCTGCTCAGACTGCCTATTGCATCTTTCCACACCATTTAGTGCATAATTAGAGCCTGTTTGAATAATGGATTTGAGTGTTGACCTCAAACGGGACATAGGCACTATGCTGATTTTCACGTGCTGTCCTGTCCACATACCGTGGTGATTGAAGTGGGCAAAACAAACTTCAGCCCTACCCCCTGTAAACTTTACTGTTTCCTGAATGTCAGTGTGTTGCATTTACCATGAACAACAAAGAAATCATGAATTATTGTTTTGAAGCCAATTTGTGAAAAACTTTTACAATACTGCACATGCATAATGCAATATATCAACCTTATATATTTAATTTGTTTCTATAGATGCTTATCACAATTATATGGTTTTAGACTTTGGATTTAGTTCAACCAAAAATGAAAATTCTGACACAAAAGAAGATATTTTGAAGAAAGTTGGCAACCAAACAGTCAATGGTCCCCACTGACTTCCAAAGTAATGAAAAAAATGCTATGGAAATCAATGGCTACCAGCAGCTGCTTGGTTACCAACATTCTTCAGAATATCTTATTTTGTGTTTGACAGAAGAATGAAACTCATACAGGTTTGGAACAACTAAAGGGTGAGTGAATGATGACAGAATTTATATTTTTGGGTGATCGCTTGAAGAGAAATTGAACAAAACTGTGTACAGGAAGCTGCCAAGTTATTATTCAAACCCAAAGCATGCATTGATTGGGTATATAACCTATACAATGGAAGTTTCTTCTCTAAGTATGCACCTGGTCTTATTAAACCACTTTGGTAATGCCAGATTTCTCTCTATGAAATGTGGACTCTCATATTGTTAAATTCACTGTTGAAGTCTTTATCAAAAAACATGGCCAAACAGTCCGATCTTCTTCAAAATCTCTGATTCAGCTTTAGTGCATAAAATTATCTGTTGGTAACAGAAGGCTTTCACAGAATTCCATCTTATGAGGGATACCTTGTTTAACTCAACACAAAAGTGTCAGGGTCCTCTCCTCCTCTCCTCCTGGTTTTTAGGTCTCCCCCAGTCTGAGATCAAATCACTTACTATATAGGCTAAGTTCAAGTTTAAGTTCATTCAGTGATCAGTTAATTTAGTTAATTATCAGTTACCACATTTTTAGGTTAAAATGTTTGTGTTTGGAGAAAATCTGCTCAGAAAACTCTGATCTGTTGAACTATACTATCATTATATCAGAATAGGTATAATGATGTAATTGTTTGTACATTTTCTTCTGGCAATGTAATGGCATTTGCTCTCGCAGTTGCATTGCAGTGCATTCACTTGTTTTATATTATTTTCATTGTATTGGATATGGCGAAGGAACACATGTTAATAGAATGATCTTCCAGGCACGATCATTTATTTAAGCTTACCATTCTCTTGGAAAACAGGTTATGCAGGAAAATTGGCTATTTATGCAAGTTTTTCCACATTTTGTCTCCCTCCCCTTTGTGTTGCTCACACTGCCTACGGTCATATTGCATCTTTCCACATCATTTAGTGCATAATTAGCACCAGTTTGAATAATGGATTTGAGTTTTGACCTCTAATGGCATATAAGCTTGATGCCGATTTTTATGCGCAATCCTCCCCACCTAACATGGTCGTTGGAGTGAGCAAAGCAGTCTTAAATAGGATTCTAATAATGTTACATTGCTCATTGCTTTCCACATCTTTCAACAGGAAGCACCTGCTTCACTTTATTTAAACCAAATGTAATAATTAAACAGTGGAAATTACAGTGAAATACTGTAACTTTAGACTATTAAATGTTTATCAATTGTATTTAAGCACTATTTTTCAGTTCTCACATTGAAAAGTAGCACGACACTGTAACCTTTATTGTATAATTCACTTTCATTCTCTTTGTTTTCTCTGTTCTCTCCAGGAATCCATATATGCCATCTCCATAAATGGTCTCATCAGTTTCTCCACGGGGTGTTTGCTCATTCTCATCATTGCCTTCCATTATAAAGACATCAGAGTGAGTGTTTTTGTTCAATCTGATTCCGTTGAATTACCTCCTTTTAAACTCTTAATGTAAGAAGATATTACACTTAAAGGGACAGTTCACCTAAAAATTTAAATTCTGTCATCATTTTCTCATCTGCCTCGTGTGTTCCACACTTGTATGACTTTATCTCTTCTGTGGAACACAAACAAAGATATTTTTTGCCCATTTAATGAAAGTTAACTTTCATTGTATAGACATACACAGTTGAAATATTATTTCAAATATTTAGTTAGTAGAACAATCACAGATTTTTCCTTTTTGAACTATCCCTTTAAGAAATTCTTGAAGATGTTTTTCATCCTAATTTTAGTACTGTTGTCAGTTTTGTTTCTAGTTCTAGTTCTTCTAGTTCTTTCTGTTGAGGTGTCAAACTAATTTGAAAGAATGCTACTTGGTGTCATCTGTGTTGACAGCAACAGAAGTAAACAAATGAGTACACATTGACACAGTTGTGATATGCTTGTTTTATGACGTGTAATGTCCCTATGAGAGGTGTTAAAGTACAGGATCAGGTAGTATAGCCCAATACATTAAAAGATTCCTACTCTTAACCATTACTGACTCGATGTCTATAGAAATTTATACTGGAAAATACTCATTTGATTGTGTGATCACAGTTCCAATCTGTAATGTATGCTGCTTTGGGTTAAGCAAGAATGAATAATTAGTAAACAGAAAATTGATTGAGGCCAGTGAAAGAAATCTGACAAAATTTTGACAGCATCAAATTCAGAAAATGTTTTACAGCAGGGGATCTATCTACAAGTGCAGTAAAGAGATAAGAAGGGTGAAGTGTGAGGAGCAGATGGGACTTATCTGAACTCCTCACACAGAATCAGCAATATGGGGACCAAAGGGCTCTCATGGTCTTTAAAGTAAAAAAAAAAAAAGTCAGTTACACTTTACTTTCTAACCCCTAGTGTGACTCATTTGGGGCAAGAAAGTTAAACAAAAGCAAAGACGAAAAGGAACAGAAGAATTAGGAACTTGAATGAGAAAGCATATATACTGTATATATATATATATATATATATATATATATATATATATATATATATATATATATATAT